ACAGAGCTAACACAACAGACCTGGTACAGACAACAGAGCTAACGTTAGCTACAACAGACCTGGCTGTATCCAGCCCAATTGACAGGGTTTAGAGCCAAAAAAAGTGTTCCAATATATTAATATCATATATTAACATCTGTAATTGTACTGTGAGTTTATAGTTATCTGTGAATGTAGTAGACAGATGAAAAATGACTTCACCTGGATTCAGCTCATTGGTTCAGTTTGTTTAAAAAAAAAAGTGAAATGTGACCATGATTAATTAATTACTAAGCCTTGAATTAATATTTTTTTTATAGAGAAAGTTCTTTTATTTTCATGGCTCATTGAAGCCAAATGTTTTCTGAATTTGTGCTGTACAAAAAAGAAATGACTTGACCTCCTTATGGACACTGTGCTGCTGTTGCTGACTTTTTTCTACTGATTCACACATGGATTCTATGCACAATCCTTCAAATCCTTCAAAAGCACTTAAAATTACTTTTGCTAATTGGCTACAGCTAGGTTCATTTAGTGCTGCATGTCATTTTCAATCCAATGATTTTAGAAGACAAACGGACCTGCTTATGTGTTCAGATTACGATTAACCTCGATACCAATTCAGGATTCACACTATTCTGGTTAGCATGCCTGCCTTGCAAGCAGAGAGTCCTGGGTTAGATTCCCAGAGGAACCACATACATGACACCTCCATTTCACCATGCCAATTTACTGTAGCTCAAATAAGCTACAGGAGTGTACAGTAAATAAAATCAGCTTGGAATACATAAAGGTTAGCCATTAAATCAATAGAAATGACCTTATGATGGCTAAAAAATGTGATATTAGTTTACTTTAAAATAACTTTGACTTGCTCCAGCAATAGCTGTTAGGGAACTCAATTGAACTAAAAGCTGCAGCCCATGTTTAGGGCTCCTGCAGCTTTACTTGGTTTGTGTAACAACAGTCCTATCTACAAAAAGGGGGCGCTGCAGGAAAAGTTAAGAACCACTATGTTAACTGTCAATAAGGAACTTAAGCAAGTCCAGTTCTTCCTCTTCTTATCCTTTCAGTGTTGCTATATTTGAGTAGTTTCACACTATATAGGTTTTTGGGAGTATTTGGGTAAATCTGAATAGACACACACACACAATCTCATCTTCTGCTTCTCTTCGTTACTGACATTAATCTTCAGGAGGCACATTAACTTCAGTACTTCAGTACGTCCTCCTCAGATACGTCTGACAGCTAAGGCCTTTTTGCAGCAGACGTTGTTCTGCTACCAGTGTTGAAAACTCACACTCACGAATGAGTGTCGCGCCCCTGACCGGGGCTTTGAAGGCTAATCTCGTAACTCATTCAGCAGCAAAATGGATGCTGTTAAATTGCAATAAAACTTGTATCACAGTTAGACTCAGTCATGAGAAGAAAAAATAAATAGACTGAGAGACTGAAAGAGCGAAGCCAGAACAATCCCCTCAGAGGAGAAATCTTAAAAAGATCATTCTCTTCAACCTCCACAAACATCGTCCTCTTTCTACAGAAAAAAATCCACACTCTCCTTCCATTCTCTTCTCAACCACAAACATTTAAAATAAATAAAAATCAACAGTGAATCTCCTGTGCTGTGGCCTCCTGTCCAGCTGGAGGCCTCGCTGCTACCTGATGCGTCCATTTGCTCGTGGAGCGCCCAGATAGGATTTGGGGTCAGGGCTCATGGAGCTCCAGGGACTCTTGGAGCAGGCCTGCATGACAGGACATGCTGTTGGACCCACAGCGCAGATGTCGGCCGCGTCCCACAGCTCACTCACTAGGCTGTCCACCCAGTGGTCCAGTTCTGGGCCGGTCAGGGCTGCGTTCCTCTTGGCCTGCTCCACGAAGCCCAGACTGACAGGGATATTTAACACTGGGTTGAGACCGTGGAAGCTCTGCTCCATGTAGCTGTTCTTCGCAGGTCCGTTGTGGAATCTGAGCGTGTCCTCTGGAGAAACATAAAGAAAGACACGAGGTGTTTAGAAATGTCGTCAAACACACACTTTTGTCTGTTATCTTAGCTGAGTGTTTCTAGCTCGGTCTAATCACGTCTCACTGCCTCATAAGTAGTTTCAGTTACAATTTTTTAAAACAATTTTTAACCAACTTTTCTTAAAATTTTGTATTTTGCAAGTTTTGTTTAGTCCGTTTTTTGTCATCTTTGACATTAATCTTTGGGCTAACATTTACACTTTTTTTTTATTTATTTTGTTTATGTCTTTGCTAGCTTTCAATTTTTCCAATTTCAACCTCCGGCTCAGTAATATTACATCTTTACTCAATTTATGGTACGTCGCTTTTTGTGTATTTCTCAAGTTTAATTTTCATTTTTGCAAAAATTTTAGCGATTGTGGATTGTAGCATTTCTGCTTTTAAAAAATCTTTCAGCCTTACAGCAAACGTGAACCAGAAACAGTTGGCTGTCTGACATTTTACCTTGTACACGTAATACATTACAAGTAGATTAAGCCAAAAGGCACAACAATTAAGCCCACAGTGCAGACCAGACAAAAATGTTTGAAAACCACTGTTCGACAGTAACTACCGATTTAAGCATTCTTTGTTGGCTAGACTTCCTAAATCCTAGTTTCAGATGTGGTTTGTGAAGTGGTTCTAGAGCTGACTTTCAAGACAATGTCAGAAATACTCAGACACACACTCATTCTCTCCATGAGGCTCGAACTTAGCAGGATGACAGCAAACTGTGGACACAGATTCTCTAGGAAACCCTTTCTCCATCCACCCCGAGCTCCATGGAAGCTGTGACATTCCTCACCGCTCCTTTAACTGTGAGGACCTGGCCCAACTTTCTAAGTGTGGCAGGGCAGCACAAGCCTCCTCACACCCACATGTTTGCACACATCAGCATTTTTCATACATGGGTGACAGAATGATGGAGACAGACGTGATGTTACTCCACCTGGAGCTAACGGCGGTTTGGCTTCAGCTAATGACAGCTACACTTTTAAAGAAGTGTGTGTAATGTATCATATGTAGCAGTAATAGTCATTTTACGAGTTTTACGTAAGGATACGCGTGTGAGTGCATGTGTGTGAGTACACGTGTGTGAGACGTGTGTGCATGAGTCTGCTGCTGCCGAGGTTGGCAGGAATCCAGGCTGTAAAGTTTTATTTTCGCTACACGTAAGAGTGAAACCTGATGCCGGAGTTTATCTTCACACACGGCATTGGTACTAGCTATGAAATAGGAACTGTTAAAATCAAACACGTTCATCAACATGTCGGGCGTAGAGACGATAAACATTATAATGACAATAAAAATGACAAATCAGTCGCAAATGTAAAAGATCAAATGATACAAGGCTAATTAAAACAATTAGAATAATAAATAGCAGCACTCGCTTAAATTAGCTCATTAGCCGAAGCAGTGGGTAGGAAAAAATATTTTAAACTAGTTATTTTTAATGTGTATTTAAATCTAATCCAAATCCAAACTCATTAATTCATCTGCTGCTTCGTTCCAGGGCAGTAGGAAGTGGGGGTTGGGTCATGAGGCGAGAGGGGAGACTTATGGAGTGACTGCACATTTGAATGATTACTTCTGTATATCATTTTTATTTTTAATTGTTTTTATTGTGAAAAACTGAAGTATATTCTGTTCTATTCTATTCCATGTAGAATGACTATAAACTTGATGGTCGTCAGTATAAAGGTTGAACTGAATTGTTATTTGCAGACAGTGACCCCTAGGTTCAGTTCATTATTAACTCATGTAATACTAGTTTTTTTTATCTGTTAAAGGGTTTTCTGTGGAGTTGTTCTGACAGGATCCTTACGGTATTTCGTACGGTAAAAATGATTTGAAACAATTATTTACCTGAATCTCACTTGGCCCTGGGGAACTTACAGCAGAACAACAACACTCACTAACAGACACTGTAAGTGAACAAACTTCCAGATAGGAATGGAACCCACACTCCCTGGCTCGTCCATGTGGCCTGTGGGGCTCTTTACAACCACAACTAGGAAAGGATTGTGTATCGTTTATGTACTTTGTCATAGGAATACTTTTACTGTAATAAAACTTTAGTACCTCTTGGCTTCTACCATCAACAAATCATTCTTTATGCAGTCTGTTCAAATCCATTTTTAAACGTTCTGGAGTCAGCAAACACACAACCAGAAGAGATGAGTCCTTAATGTACACACTTGACAAAAGATCGCCAGATCATTTGGACTCACCATCAATACAGAGCTGCGACACATTTTTATGTCCCATTTCATCTCATCGCGATTCTGCGAAAGTGAACATCTGAACTCTTAGGAACAGTGAAGTCCTGCTCCTGATCCAGGCGGTCTGACCGACTTCACTGTGTCCTTGGTTTTGGAGGGTTAGGTTTGTGTTGTTTAACACTCTGTTCAGTATGTGTGAGCAGTCTGCTGGGTTATTAGAGGTGACTTTTATGACAAACAGCCAGGGTCTGCATAGGGACCCGGGGGCCTGATTAGAAAGGTCATTGTGAACAACATAAGGCTCTGGAGAGTAACACTCTGTGGGTGTGTATGTGTGTTTGTATTAATGTAAGTGCATATATTTGGATTCTAAGGACCATTTTGACTCACGAAAATCATAACAGACCTGGACTATTCAAATAACAGCCCAAAGGCCACAGACGTGATGTAATCAAAATGTGACTGATTTAGAATCTTTCTTCAATTCCTGCCAGTATCAGCGTTGACTTCAACTAAACAGGCCAAGATTTTAGTGAATTGTGATTACTTTTAAAGGAGAAGATTATTATATTTTATTACATACAGTATGCTTTTTGAGAGATTTTTGTTTGGTGGTGTGCTGTGGGGTTTTCCTTCTTTCTCACCTTGTCGTATGGGCTGGTGTTTGTGATGCGTCAGTGGTGTGATGAGAAACCTCATCTCAGCCACGGGACTCCAGTGGTGCAGGATGCGGACGTTCCACACTCCAGGTCTCAGAGGTTGGTTCAGAGGAGGGCGGTAGTGGGTAAATTCAGCGCTGGCTTCGATCAGAATGTCGTAGGTGGCCGCGATGACGTTGGTGGGGTCGATCCACACCACTGTGACGGTTATGTTGGGCCCTTTGTTCCACTTCTGCATGCCCACGGTCTCATCCATGGGGCCCATTAAACCACCAAAGTTTCTAAACATACGTTCTTTGGCGTCCCAGTCTGTCCCGATCTGCGATTGGACAGGATAAAAAAAAGTTGAAACAAAACACAGAGAGAGAGAGAGAATGCAAAAAGTCTGAATCTGGGGAGATTTCTTCTTCTTAAATGGGAATTTTTTTAGTGCAAACTTTAGAACACAATACACTCTTGACAATATAATTTCAATCAAAAGGCAATGATATATACATTCTTCCATTACAACCAACCTACATATTTCACTAGAACCCTTTAAATTATTGATATCAAAGATATGGACCAGGGACTAGATCTGGCACATTTGTTTGCGGCAGGTGACTGGAAATAACATTTCTCTGTTGAATCTAGACAGAACTTTGAAATCTCAAATATTACTGCAATTTTTGAGTGTTGACTTTTAGTCTTAGAATTCTGGCTATGTATCGTTTTCATGGACGGGTCACCACAACAGTGGTCAATGTAGTAATTCGACCTCATTTTTACCCATTTTTCAAATGCCATTTCTGATGTACCTTGTGCTTGGGAGATGAAGGGTTACTGTAATTGAACCAAGGACCAAACTACTTTAGCCTCCATGGCATTTAACATGAAATAATTAAGTTTGTTTTTTGTAAACAGGGCCAGTGTCCTTTGTTGCTGTCATAGGTTTAACGCAGACCCAGCTCAAACTGACTAATGAATAGAACAGTATCATCGGCATCAGAGAGAGAAAGAAATACTGGTCCAAAATATAAACAACATTGACAGTGATTACAACCTTACATCAGCAGGGGGCGAGGGTGTTACTAGACAGGGGCAGTAATTATTTCTGACCAAAGCATATCTGACAGAAACTAGAGACGTCAACAGTGAAAAAAGAATAAACAACAACAACAAATAAAAAAAACCCCAATAGCTCCACATCCTCCACCTAGATGGAGAAAAGTGCATTGTTTGCCATCATTTGCTGCAACTTTGAGATAAATGGTGCAGATTACAGCAAAGTCACAGATACTTTGGTGATTTATGAGACACACAGCCTGCTGCCTCCGGCTGCAGCAAACAGAAGGAGCTGCCAGCCCAGCCTGCAACACACTGGAGGACGGCCAGAGGAAGAACCAGTCCATTTATAATGGAACATTTTCTGAGGTTACAATTATAATTAACATTTAGTGTTAGTAGACTATTTCACAAGTTTGTTTGTGTCAACTGAGAATAACTGGCTGTGAAACTTTAATTAAACATTTGATTGGACAGAATAATAACAATACTTCATTTTGAATTAAATAAAAACAAAAAACCAGACAAGACTATAGCTGGCCAAGACCTGAGTGGTGGACGACGTCACATGACCACCGGGTAGATGAAATGTATACATTATAACTTCTCTGAATTTGTGATGGATTATCACCAGTTTGAATTTATGTTCAAACCCCCAAAACACAACTGTTTGGAAGGAGAGAAATGAAAGAATGAATTTGTCTTCCACCATGTAATCCCTGTCAGGGTTCCAGGGGGAGCTGCAGCCAAACCTAGTGGACACGATTACAACCTCGAGAAGCATCAGTTCCTACAGTGACACGCGTGCACGTGTGCTTTGATGCAGGTTAAACTGACAAATCCAATCTGCCAATCGACTTAGGCGCTAATTATGAAAACAGGAAATGTGCAGAGGTGTCATTTTAATGTCGGCGTCTGTAATCCAATCCCTGTGTTCTAAAATGCACAGATAGCAAAACCGTGTGGTATGATGTAAATGAGACTCATGGAGCGATCGAGATTGACGACCGGAGACACAATGATGAAGTGGAGGACGAAGCACACGCACACACACGCACCTACACGTGCACACGCACACATGCGTACACTCATCGGCACACACTGACAGTGAAATATACATGGTGCGTTGGCAGAAATGTGAGAGGCAGGCAGGCTTTAGGAAGTGTTCATCCTGACAATGGCGGTTGATTAACTCAGCCTCACCCTGCTGCAGGATCAATGACTGACTGGAACTGACTGTATGGTCAATCCTGAGAGATTTCGGATTAGGATGCAAAGTATAAATAGGTGCAACTTGGATGAACGAGGCACCCAGAGAGATGGAGTGCAAGTGTCTCGAGTGTCTGTAAAAGACTCCTCTGCTTTTAACTCCATTATTGAACTGACCTCTGCCATTTCAGCCCATTGGAAATTGGCTCTGTTCTCCTGAAATTACTAATCAACTCCCTTGTCTGGCACCTCTGGAGCTCATTACTTTATTCAAGGCTAAATCACTGGCACACATTACATCCCCAATTGATTGGCAGCTCTCCTGTTCTTAGGCTCAGAAAGAAATAAAAGCAGTATCGGCAGACGAATCTCTGTAATCCACTGCAGATGGACGGCTACAGTCCATGTTGTGAGAGGGAGATTCTGACAGCATTCACATGCTGCGGGTTTGTGACCCCCGGGATCTGCTGCTTCTTCAGCCCCGTAGGAGATTGGGCAACGTGCGCCTGTGAGGACCAGCATTAATTATGCAGAACTTGTGCTCTCTCTCTCTCTCTCTCTCTCTCTGCACTCAAACTTATATGTGGTGTGTTTAGTTTTTGCTGTCAAAAATGTTGCAGTGTCATTTTTGGGTCACTTGCAAAATATTAGTCCTGTAGCTAATGTTTTAGCTATTAGCTTTTTTTAGTTACCGTTTGGCTAAGTAGTAATTACTGTACCCAGTGTCAACAATACTTGCTAACATGACATTGACCTCGACGCTGCCCCCTGCTGCTGTTAACCATTGAGCTTTGGCTTATGACAGATGGCCAATCAAAGACTCTAGGCTGCTCATGAAGACAGAGGCTTATGATCTCTTTCATCCTTAGCTGTACTCAGGGGGACATGCCTTTGTGGAGCTAATGTTGAGTCCCTAACTCACTCTGACTTCCATCACCTCCTCCTCGTGCTGACACTGACTTGGTTAACTCACGTTTTCCACGAAACCTTTAGTCTAAACAATTAGTCAGACTTTCTTTATATCAAGGCCAAGTCTTCAGATTCAGCATGCTGACCCTGCCGTACCAATATGTACAACTTGTAAACTGAATGGTTTACACCTATTTACTGACTCTCTGACTGCCTCCCAGTCTGGTTATTCTGATCAGGCAGTTTGTGTGGACTGTCCCCGTCCACTTCTGGTTTAAAAACCGACGGTCCTGGGCAGCTCTTAAAGATCGGCACAGGAGCTTATTAGTGGCTCTTATTTTGAGAGCTAATCAATCCCAGATGTTCTGCAGCCACATTAGAAAACTCCCCCAGGGACACATTTACACTACTGAGGGTCCACGGCCAAGAAGGATGGATGCTTGTTAATAAAGATACACTGGGAGAGCGGGTGGGGAGGGGTGAGGTGGGGGCAGGGAGCAGTGACACGTCAGCTTTAAAGAATTGACGAAAGAAAGAAAATAAATCACACAAAATGCGATGAACTTAAGTCAAACTAGAGTAAAGGTTTTAAATCAAGAGTTTGACTAACAGATTACAAACAATAACATTTAGAAAAAGGGAAATTGTTTAATCTGTTGTTCTAAGTGAGAGATGACAAAATAATTATCGTCTTCATCTCTGCAGACAACAACAATTAGCTTTTCTAAACATTCGGTTAGAAAAAAGCCCAATTAAAAAAAATTATGTATTTACCAAACAAATTTAAAATATTTATTCTTCCAAAGTTTATCTTTCAGCCTCCTGGGTGTCTTTCATCAGGAGTTGAAGCTTGTTTGTTGAGTGGTGTCACAGATGTTTCTATCAGAGTTTTGGCAGATGGTTGTTCAACAAACTTAAATCCTTGTGAAGTTTCTTGGGGGGAAATGGTTTGTTTTTTTATTGTATAGACAAAAATACTACTTCATCAAATATATCACAACACCATCAGTCATCCTGCGGCTAATGTGAGACACCTCTTAGTCTGCTGGCTTTACTACTACCAGTGTCACAGCTAACTGCTTTTTGCAATTTTTTTATCTTACAGTTTGATTTTTTGAGATTTTTGCTCCTTCGAGTCCATCTTTATCTTATTTTTTTAGTTACAGTATGCAGGTTTGACTGACTGGTCGGTTGCCATGACAACCGCTTTCACATAAACCATTTTGAACAAATTAGCCTTCTGTAATAACTATTAAGTATTACCTTCGACTCATGACATCATTTAAATTGTGAATGCAGATGTGCCTGTGTATTGCCTCAGCACACTTGTGTGTACACAGTACTGTACATTTCAGCAGAGTACGGTGTGAGAGAGCGAGGCCTAAAGCATCAGTCAGAGCCTGTCACTCTACTGTACGAGATTTACCCATCACACTGTAATATACTTCTCAATGTCAAATCAGACTTGAGGTGAAATACTAATTTTAACTGTGCTGGCTGTAAGTGCTCCGTCACTAAATCATGCTGTAAAAGGGCCTATAAACGCAGCTGCGGAGAGAGGAGAAGAAAGACAGATCTGTCTCCCCTTATGTCTGAGGGAGGACAAGAGACACGTTGTTGAGCCGGGCGTACGGTTTATCTTGCAAACGGCAGCATATAGAAGCTGTAATGTCACGGGTCATATCGGCTAAAGCTGACAAAGAGGCAGGGAGCGGCAGCAGATGTTAAACTCCCCGTGACTGACAGACTGACTGACGGACGCTGAGCAGTGGGCTTCCAGATAAAAGCCCAGCTCATGTCACTTGTGATGTCACTCATGTTTTCAAAGGCCAGAACAGGACCGGCTTTTCCACATTGTCCAGATATGACAGCGTTACAATAGCCACAGGTCGTCTGCTCCTCCTGGGATTTTGAAGCATTTTTAAACATTTCATCTGTAATAGATGGGTTTTACTCCGTCCAAAAATGTGTAAGAATATCGATACACTGTAATATCAGAATATTTAGTTCCGAGATATCTTATCGGTATTCTACAGCACTGTACAGACTGACAGTTTTCCTACAATTAAATTGACAATTAAAAAACTCAAAATATGGTCCTGCCTATACTGCAATATATCACGATATATCGTACTGTTGCCCCCGTATTGTAATACGTATCGTAGCGCCGGGTTCTTGCCAATACACAAATAATGTATATACATGTAATATATACATAATATGTATATAATATATAATATATAATATATACTATATAATATATAATATATATAATATATGTATAATATTACTATATAATATATAATATATGTATATAATATATACATATATGTAATACGTAGCGCCGGGTTCTTGCCAATACACACTTTATTTTAGTAAAAATAACTTGGTTTGAATATAAAATTTAAATTTAGCATAACTATTTTTAAACCCAGAAAAAGATTTCTGAAAGAAGAACAAAACAATGCACTAAAATCTGCCACGTTAAGTGAAAACTTGTAGTCTAATCACAGAGACTTTTTTCCCTGCTGCGAAAAAAGGAGCTGTGTTTTCATGACCCAAAAGAAAACAAAGTCATTCACAAATCTGTGGCCGGTTCTGGCTCCTCCAGAGCAGCTGGTGTTAAACCAGAGGAGGAGTCATTTTACATTCACTCAGTTAATTTGGTCCTTTTTAAGAAGACACTTGGTGGCTGTCACGTCACAGCTCAGTAAGTGTATCCTAAACAGGCCTGCTGGTAAACAGAAACACAGATTAACATAACAAGACAATCAGGGGGGAGCATTCCAGTGTGAAGGTGAGAAGACGTTCTATTAGGAAACAACAAATAAGCAGCGCCGGACGCACTCATCCCTATAAACTTAGATGAATTCAATCAATTTACATTTTACAAGGCCATTACTGCCACCATTTTATTCCGTGAGTCTGCCAAGGTCGCAATAGACGTGAATGTGAGGTCAGCATTGCAATGAGCCGCAGCTCGTGCTTGTGTTTTCCCTGTGATGCTGCTGCTGCTGCTGTTGCTGCGGGGTGTAAATGGAACTCATTTCCTGATGCTGGAACTGCTGACTAATTGTTTTGTGTGGCTTACGCCAAATCTGTGCTAATGTAAATCCAAAACAAACGCTATGCCACACAAACCAAATACGCTGACTCACCTCTGCAAACTGCAGCCTGCCGAAGGTGCTGGACGAAGGGCTGGTGAATCTGAAGTTCCTCCTGGGAGCCACCCAGGTCTCCATGGTCTCCAGCTTGCTGGTGGCCAGGTTGGTGGCGTGGTGTTGGACCAAGTAGCCCTGGAACTGGTCCGACTGGAAGTAGAGATAGACTGACACAGGGTGGCCCATAGGGAAATACCTGGAATTGAATCCCAGGAAGGGAGAGAACATTAGCAGTCTTTCCAAGAAATGAGAAGAACAAATCCTGGTAACAGACATCAACAGCCTTTTCTCCACAGAGGCCACGTTTGAGTATGCAAAAACACCCAAGGACAAAGTGCTTCACTTGTGATGCTGAAATGAACTGGCCCACAAATGTACTCACACAAACACCAACCAAAACAGATCAAATACCTTCACCAATAGTTGAAATTTAAAAGACAAAGCTAGGCCGAAATCTAGGGGTGTGTATCGGCAAGAATCTGGTGATACAATACGTATCACGCTAGAGGGGCAACTGCACCATTTATTGTGATGTACTGCGATACTATAGGCACGACAATATATTGAGTTTTTTTTAACAATTTAATTGTCAAAAAACTTATACTCAGGTGCGACTTATATATAAAAAATATAATTTCACATGTTTGTTATTTTCACACTGCTACTCCTGTACCACTGAAAATGTGCCTGTTGGTTATTTTCACACTGACAGCCACTAGAGGGCACTTGTGCGACTTATAGTCCGGAAAATACAAAGATACAGTGCTGTAGAATATCGATACAGTACCGTGAAATGAAATGTCACGATACTTCAGTGTATCGTTATTTTCTCACACCCCTACCTGAGACATTCAACACTGATATTCAGTATATAATATACATTGATATTCCTACAGATACTATTGTGTATATATATATTTCACTTCGACTAATGACTAGAGTTTGGGTCTAAGTGAAACCCGTTCCGGTAGAGTCGATGTCTAAACAGACATTTGTCCCCGTAATATGATAATAACTGTTACACACACACTCCCTCTCTCTCACACACACACACAGGTGCCGGCCCTCTCCCTGGTGCCCAGTATCTCATCAGTATTCCACTAAAGGAGCAGAAGTCAACTTGTCCCAGTAAATCCTACCCTGACAAGCAGAACAGCAAATATTTACACCTAAAAGGATGCAGAGTGCACACACACACACACACACACACACACACACACACACACACACACACTCATTCCTCCCCTGAGGTTTTTCAACCTCTACCTTCCTCCCTTCCTCTCTGCTCTCTTTCCTCCAACTCGTATCCCTCCCTCTCTCCTCCTCTCCGGCCTCTCCTTCCCTGCTGCTCAGTCTTAGCCAAAAGAGATGTGGTGTGGTGGTGCTGACAGTGAAAGGGCCCAGACGTAAGCTGCACAGAAGCACCATTCAGCCCGTTCACTCCACAGTCCCGGTCACAGAGGAGCTGCAGAAGGAGCCAAATCCTCCGCTGCTGCCATCGCTCACTGGGCCTGACCTATACGTCTTCTGCTAGAACATCTGAATTCTGAAGGCATGCAGTGCAGCTCACATCCCTGCAAATGTGTGCACAGTGGAGTCAGGGCCTGTTTGACACAGTTGCAGGAAATTATAACAAAGAAGACGTTTACTAAAAAGGAATAAACGTCTGTTACTTTCACCCACAATAAATACGGCGGTCTCTTTAACGAAACACGTGTTCTCTAAACTCTAAACTTTAATATTACAAATATATGACCAGTCTTTGTCTTTAACAAAAATTAATTTTCACCGAGGGCCACATCAGCAATACAGTTCCCCTTAAAGGGCCGGTTGTAAATGGAAGATTGTATAGATTAGGGGTCCCCAACCCCCGGTCCACGGACCAGTACCAGTCAAGTACTTCATTCTAAGAAAATCCACTCATATCCATTATACTTTCTTTATTTAAAGATAATCTGCCAATATTTTAATATAATAGGTCTTTCAGACTCTGATACTAACAGAATAGAGGTTAAGAAAATCTGCTGCATGGACTTCTAAAGTAAATGCTTTTGCAGCTCCCGCGGGCCACACAAAAACAACTTGGCGGGCTGCATTTGGCCCTCGGGCCTTGAGTTTGACACATATGCTCTAATGCATTCCTGACCTAATGAATGAAATCTCTAACCTCTCTCTCAGTGACCTGCAAATGTCCTCACAAGGTCAGCGTGTATCCACCCTTAACACAAACCCTGCAGAGACCTACCCACAACTACAGTTACAACAGGAACACACACAGGCATTTCAGCTTTCAGATTCCAAATAAAAACTTCTGTGCTGAAAAGAAGACACTTGATTAGTTTTAAAATCTCATCATAGAGAGTAAAATTCTAAATCAATACAACCCCAAATAAAAACAAAACAAAACTCTGGCACTGTATTCAGAGCAGACACCAACACACATACTTATGCACAAATGTTTCAATGATTTTGCGGAGACTTCGATTTTGTAAAAACTTGTTTCATTATAATTTGTAAATATTTTCCAGATATTAACATGCAAAATATTATGAATATAAAAAAATAATTTGAATAATTGTGGTGTGTTTCCCATCAGCATATTTGTCAATTAGTCATTGCTTCATCCGGTTTTTCATCCTTTGCTTTTAATGTTTCAGATGCAACTGAAAAACAAGCTGTTTGAAACCCTGCTGTGGTGCATTGAACTGAAACCATCAGTTTGGCCACATTAGCATGTAAAAGCATCATGTGGATCATTTTCTTCTTTTTTTTTTTCCACTTTCCGTATGTGAACAGCACTCAGGTATTCATACGTCTCCACTAATGACACAGCGTCCCAGCAGAGGCTGCTTTTAATGCTCTGACCTGTTTATCCCCATTATCTAAGGGGATTAATTGACAGGCTATGATATCCTTTTACAAAATGAATAGCTGGATTACTGCCATCTTGTCTCTGTGACATGTGATCCCAGACACCGACGCGGACACAAAAGCCTTTTAAACATGTTGTGGTTTCTGCTGCTAATGTGTGCATGGGTGGATTCTGACACTACATTCAGACTGAAATGCACCTGCAGATGTACGTAGGTACAGGTGAGCCACGGTGTGTGTGTGTGTGTCTGTGTACTTACAGTACTACACAGAACAACAACATTAAAACCAGAGCAGTCAGTATTTGCAAAGGTAAACGACTGGTGTTCACAAAACAAACCTGCAGCTGTGATCCTTCGGGTTCCCCTGCAGAGAGGCAGCGGCTCTGGCCAGGCCCAGGCGTGAGAAGGAGTGGTAGTACGTGAGCTGCGTATCCGAGAGGCTGGCCACACCGTCCGGCTCATCGTACGTGTTCTCCCAGTAAGAGTTTAGCGCCGGTGTTCCCTGAGGATGGGGTCCGAACAAGTATGAGTCCAGTTGGTTCACGATCTCCTGGTTCACGCTGGCTTCAAACTTCCTGGCGAAGAAAGTGGGCCGAATGGTTTGCTGCAGAGATGGAGGAAAGAAGATTAGACCAGGGCGGATTAGGGTTTTTGGGTCAGAGTGGCTGTAGAAATGAGGAGTGTTGTGTAAAGAGAACCAGTGAAAATCATAATAACTGTTGTCACATGATTCTCTGTGAATTCTGTTATGGTTATAGTATTCTACTGAATAATATTTGTTAAGGCAGAAAATGTAAAGCAACATAACAAATCAACTCACAAAATTAAAATGCAACTCAATTAAATTTAATATAATTAATATAGTTAACCAATATAGTATGTTAGCTTTTTGTGTGTACAAACTTTAAGTTATATTTGCAGTTGTGGTACCCTCCACTACCACAGAGGGCCCCGTGTTATTTTTACGCTGACAGACTCCATCTGTGTACCTTAAGTACTGTAAACAGCAAAATGTAAACATTTAGGAACCACAAACCTCTGCGGTTCTTTTGGGTCAAAGGGAAACTATTTGGGTGTTGATGTTGATGTTTCCCAAACTACAGAATTTTACAGAACATTTGTGGAAACAAACGGAGGTCTTTCAAAGTTAATGGTTCAACAATGGATCCTAGTACCCCCTGTTGGGGGGATTGTTGCCTCACCAGGGCAGAGTCACTCCAGCTTTCTGTGACAAGACAGGTTGATGACAGGAATATTAATCAGCGCTGGTTCTGCAGATGTATGATTTTTCTGACACCCTTCCCGTCTCTGTGTTTGTGCATTCATGCGCCACGTCTTTCCTCACCACTTCTCTCTACACTGTTTGTGTCAACCCCCTCACCCCCCACCGTTTGCCTCCCCCAGTCTTCTCATCTCTTTCTCACCCTCTCTGTCACTGCCAAACTGTTGCCTGTGTGGTTGATGGTGCATCATGAAATCTGCCGCCTTCTCTGCTTGGCTTAAACACAAAGACATCTTTTCAGTCCCAGTCACAAAACTATTTACTGATAGTTACCCAGCAGCCAACACCATGGTGCAATTTGCAGAAAATGGGAGACATAATGAAGCTCTGGCACATTTCTGAGGTTTCGCTGTTTTCTCAGGCTGCAGTGGTGAGTGTAGTCACATTCACACCAGTCACAAAACTTTTTGAATTGAGGGCTTTTTTTAGACTGGTGCATTTACTCCCCAGTCAAATGACTCAGCAATAAAGCATGAGAGTGGAGTCGAACAGCAGTGACAGCAGTGCAGAGGGTGGATTCTGGACAGAGCGTGGAGCTGTGTTTCTTTTAAATAAAGGAGGGAGCGTTGACATGTGCACAACCAGCCCTGCCCTGATGTTACCACCCCCAGTGGACAATCTGAAGCAAAAGTTTAGGACGAAGTTTAGGTCATGGAGTGAAAACAATGAAAAGTCCACTCATAGAGTCTGGCAGCACACGTTTCACTGAGATCTGTTCAGATCCTCTGCACTTTGTTGCGACTTGATCCGCGTTATAAAGATTATTACTTGGATGCAGGAATAAAGCAGCGCACACGAGAATTGATCCAGCAATTGACTTAAATGCACTTGTGTTTTCACTACAGTGTTTTTATAAGAGAACATATTTAATTTGACAATCTTTCAGCAGGTACGTAGACCTGTACATTATCAATGTATCAATGTACACATACGTGGGAGTGTCTTGATTTTATTGAGGTTTAGTTCAAAGTCATAGCCATAAATGCAATGGTACTAATAATTGCTTTCTGTGTTTTGGTTTACGGTTCCAGCCTTGATTTCCTCATTTTCGGTTTTCGGTTCCGGCCAACAATTTTAATTTTGGTGCATCTCTAACTTAAATGTATACCTTAGATCATCATATATCATTAATAACCCTTAAATGACAAATAATAATCCGTAAAACTGGAGGGAACATTAATGCATCGAGGTACTTTTTAGCTAATAGTTTTGTGATGACAAATGGAAATTGGATAGTCAATTTAGTTGTTGTGTTAGTCCAGGTGAAATCAGGAATAAAAGACCTTCTCTAACTCCGACCCAAAGATTGTGTCTCCTTGGATTTACTCTTGGCCAAGTCTCCCCACTTCTGCCCCCCCCATACAGTACCAGGTGATGCAGTTATCCTATCCTTTCCATCAAATTTCCCTAATCCACCTAATCCATAAAGCCAGTACTCAACAACAGCCCACTGTGTCTGACACAGGACACATCACCACTTTTCTGCTCCAACACACAGAAACCCCAGCCCAGGAGGCCACTTTTGAATCCTTGTACTTGAATGATCCCTTTCTTCTGCTAAAACTCATCCAAGACTTATTTATTCCTCAGGATTTTCTCAACCACACAGAGGGGAACTCTTAATGCGTGTATTAAGATCTGTTAATGCTAGCCCGACTGGTTTCTGGAAAAGGCTGTTTAGTTCCCAAGGTTGGTCTTCATTGGTACCAGGATGCCAGCCAGATCCAAGGGTAGAGCCAAAGATATGTGGTAATTTGTTGGCACTGAACTGCCAGTGTCTGAGGCGAGACAGATGGCAGACAGGTCCAGTCAGAGGAGAAGTGAGGTCAGAACCACCACTCTGACTGGTATGTGAAGGACAGCGGAGGCTGTGAGTCACAGCACTTGAAAGATATTTCACAGCAGCAGAACATTTTCAATCTGTCTCACAGCTTTTACTTTGATCGTGGGCATTAAATGTCCAATAGTGACGCCAGGGGTAGAAATTACCAGGTGGTCAGGGACAAATGCCCGTGAAAAATCACAAAGGCCCTAATGGAGACTTTTATTACTCGTCTAAAGAATATTGTTTACTTTTGCAAAGCTTGAGAGTGGAAAATATCAAGGCTTCTGGTGGTGAGAGGACCTTTGGCAGTGTCTTTGTTACAGACAGAGCTAAAACGATACATTTGCACCAATAAGACATCATTTTCTTTATTAGCCATAAATTGCTAAATGTGAGGGGGAAAAACCCACTGGCTAATGCCAAATGCTTAAAGCCCAAAATGAGAAAAAAAGGCAAAGTAAAAGATTTAGATCCTATTCACAGCGTATATTCACATGTATTTATGTGTTTCATTGGTTAGTGTTATTGGCAGTGTATGAAATGCTATATTCACTTGTATTTATTTATGTGTTTCATTAGTTAGTGTTATTGGCAGTGTATGAAATGCTAAAGGCTATCCAAAAGACAACCTTCAGCAACCAAAGTCTGTGGTCTAACTAAACTAAGTTAAAATAAAACATAGCCAAAGAATTAGCTCAGAAAATACTGATTTTGGCAAGAACTCCTTTGTTTATCCTACAGTGAGGAAATTCAGAATAGTTAGCCTAAACAAAGCTAAATGTTAGCAAGAAAACAAAGAAAAGAAAATTGCTCGGGAACAAATAAAGGTAAAGCTAAGTATAATAATACATATTTTGCAGCTTGCACAACGAATCACAACTTCCCCACATATCTTGCTCTTGTTGCCTTTGCACACGGTTGTTGTTCCTGTCTTTCATTCATTGCATCAACACTTTCCTCTTTCTTCAATCCTGCACTATATTGAACTCTCACCCCTCTGTCACCTGCACTCGATCTGGGACCAGGGAAACTAATTTCGTTCATCTCATGTCTAACATGTGGTGTAGTGACAATAAAGAACCTTGAGAACCTTAAATGTCAGTCACACATATCTATAAGTTCACATTAAACACAGCTAAATGGGTTAGCTAAATGTTAGACAAATGATGGTGAAAAGCTAACTTTTCATTATTTAATGATCATTAATGCTCGTACTGTGAGAAATATTCTTCAGCTGGGAGTGAATTTAAAAAGCTGTGGGAACAGACTGGACACTGGGGGCAGGAGAGAATGGCTGAAGGGCAGGGACTTTGGAGACTAAATGCTGATGATTTCCCACAATACACTGAGGTGTGTGCACGGCAAACGAGCTTTAATGTGACACATTCTTTTCACTTTGATTTGGAAGGGTCACACGACGTCCCCTGTAGACATTCGGCTTCAAGTCTAAGACCTTTATTCTGCCGTCGTAACCTATAAAGACCAGGATTTTACTTAAACTGCTGCAGGTTGACGTTCGGACTTAACCAAACGTCAACGTAAAGACCAAGAAAAGTCAAAGAGCAACAGAAACACAACCTGAAACTGACACTTTCATGACTGAACATCACTGGCTGCTTCAAACAGCAAATGAAGAACAGCGGGTTCTTCAGATCGGGGGGGGGGGGTTTAGAGGTGACTTCACACCTGCAGCAGTTCACTGTTTTCTGGTTCCAATACCTGGAAGCGGTGGAAGTCTGCAGGTTTGAAGTCATTGGGAGAACATCCGCACCAGTCTACGATGTGCTTGTACTGACACTTGCAGCCCAGTTTGCGATTCCAGTTGGTGATGCGAAGGTTGTTGTCCACCATGCTGCCACAGTAGGCGCTGTTCTCCAGCACTGTGTGGAAGAAGGACTGGAGAAGAAGAGTGGAGTTAAAATAAGAAGAATAAAACAACAAGCAATATAGATTAGCCAGAAATGCTAAATACGTACCAAGATTAAAGTGAGTGTACAAGCAGTTCAAAGTTAGCTGATAAAACTGATAAAACGTTGGTAGCATTTAGCTGAAACAAGGCTAAGAATCCAAATAAAACCAATATAAAACATATGTAACATGTTCACCTCAGCAGGCAGCAGGGTGTAGGCGTAGAACCTCTTCATGTTGGAGACCAGGTCGTCCTTGGAGTTGACCACGTACTCCACGAACATACGGTTGAGAAGGAACCAGTCGGACCCTCCGTCCACTGAGATTCCATCTGGGATTTTACGGTCTCCTAGCCTCCACATATGTGTGTCGCACTCGAAGAACAGACGGTCCAGACCCTGTTTACGGATAAACCTGGAGAACACAGAAGTACTTCATTCCAAATGTGGCTCCGAGTTAATGGATCATAAAAATTGGATGCAGGAGATAATGTCCTGTACCGGTATCGGTTGATATCGGAATCTGAAATGAAGTGTTCGGATAATATCGGCATATCGGATATCGGCAGAAAGTTAATATCGTACATCCTTAATTGCAACTTTTACAAATTTTGATTTCACATCAGAAAACCCTCAGATGTATTACATGAAAATAATAATATTAAAGAAAAAAACTGGTTATTTGAATGTTGACCGTGTAAGGCCCAGCTTCTTCTTCTTTTCTTAGTGAAAACGTGTCACTGCGCGTCTCTACTCTCCCCCATCCAGGGCAGGAAAAGTGACACCCTGCATACATACTTAATGGATGCTGTAACCGCTGTGACTGTATCCAGTGTTAGAAAGAACGAGTCAAGTTCAGGTCACTCAGGTCCAGCCGTTCTCTCTGTTCTCAAAGGTCGGCTCTGAGCTGGTGACGCACTGTGTGAGTCAAAAAGTCCTCAGACAGGTGTGTTCCTATTTCTGCAGCTAACTGTTGTCAAAGACTGAAGCGTTCAGACTGTGTCTCCAGCACGCATCATTTAATGAGGATCCATATTCTACTGTGAGAGTGAGTTCTGTCCTGGGGGAACGTCTCACTCTTTTCAGTTTACTAATGAACTCTGGCACATGTTTTGCTAAATGTACATATTTGTTATTTGCGCCAACTAAAAGCTGAAGGAGCACTGGTCTACATAAGACTCCCCCTGGTGTGAAATATGGTGTGAAACCCCAAAATGCCATTTGCCTCCTGGCAGAGCAGTAACAACACTGAAGGCCTCACTAACCCTGACACTTTAAAGGGCACATGTCTGAACACCATCCCTCAGAAAGTTAGAGGTGGAGACAGACTGAAATGTCGGTGGAGACAGTTATTAGGTCAAAGGTCACATAGGACTACTCTATCTATATGCAGTTAATTATAAAAAATAGTGATTAGTTTTTTTTGTAGTCTCGTGGTTTCCAAAATAAGGGATATGAAACCTAGAGGAGCAGGGAGATATTGCAGGGGTGGGTGTGACAAACGTCACAGTATTTTTATTATTTGTCCCAGAGAAGGAAAATCGTACTAAACGATACGTATCACAATACAGGGGCTGATACCATATATTGCGATATAATGTATCACAATACAGTATATTGCAATATATTGAGTGTTTTTTTCCAACATGTTTTTTCCAACACATTTGTAACCACTGGAGAAGAAATAAAAGTTAAGTAAAATGAGTCACGGCATGAATATTTGCATAAGTGTGATTGATATTTCGACAATTGAATTAAAAATGAATTAACCTTTAAACTGACACACATTTTATTTTTTCAAAATCATTTTGCGGTCCAGCGTAGACGTGTGTAACTTAAAGAACATGGTACAGAACTGCTTGGTGCCCACTAATCCACCATGCGGCTCTCCTAAAACAAATAGTTTCTTTTTATAATTGGTGTTTTTTAACTTAAACTTCAGATGTTTTTTTTTACTTCCATCATTAAATATTTGCTGCTGTTCTGCAGCCTATCTGTCGCCGTAAAGATGTCAGGGATGAAAATCATTTCTGTAACGTTTTAACGCTACAAACTCTCACTTTTATCCTTGACAGAAAACCAATTTGAAGTGTCTCTAAAAACAAAAAGGTAGAGCTGAGTCATGCTGACTCCTTCAAACCTGCTGAGTTTTTGGTTTCCCAAAATGTATTTTTTAATGGTGATCTTGGAAATCTTTTTGTGTTAAATAATGACCAGCTGGTCAGAAGGAAGTGAACGAGACACAGATCTGAGCTCCACGGTCTCCTCCTGCCGAGAAGGTATGAAGTCTATGAAGTCACAGATGTGTGAACGACTGACCACACTGTCCTGTGGTACGCTGTGTGTGTGTGTGTGTGAGACAGAGAGAGAGAGAGAGAGAGAGAGAGAGAGAGAGAGAGTGAGTAGTAGTACGGTTGTTTTCAAGAATTAAGCGATGCTTCTGACCTGGCGTTGTCTCTGCCGTGGGACTTGATGAAGTTCATGTCTCTGAACTTGGACAAGAAAGACACCAGCTGGTTGTTGGTCCTAAGACAAAAGACAGACATGATAAACATTAACATGTGGTTTGACCTGTGGTTTCCAGTCCATCATCGACTGGGGGAGTGGGGGGGGAGGGAGGTTAACAGTGGGGGTCCTCAGCTGATGATGATCATCCACTTCTTGGTCTTCTCCTCCCATGCACACACACACACTCACATTGCTGTGTGTCTGCATGTCTACTGTGACAATTCAGTACATGGTACATGCACACACACACTCACACACACAGAACAGTGTGAATTCATGCCAAGATCCACATTTCCCACCTGAGTGCTTACCCCCTCCTCTGGGTCTAATTTACTGTCAGCCCTGTGGCTGCAGTGTCACACACACACACACACACACACACACACATGCTGTTTTTTGTGAGTACCTGAGACTCTAATCTAATCTGATCCTAAATCTAATCCTAATTCTGGACTAAATCCAAAACCTCAAAATACTCTCCTACTCCCCTCAACAATAATATATTTTCACAGAAATGTCCCCAAAATAAAACAATACAATTAATATAATTATAAATAAATAATTACAAAAATAACAGAAAAATAAAGTATTGATTTAAATCATTAAAACATGTCTAGAGTGTACCTCTCTGATGAACTAATACAATTCATTTGAATATTTTTAATAATATAAGTCTGATAAATATATTTGTTTATGACACATTTTGTCACATAATGATATTTTTACTTTATTTATTTTATTTTAATGATTTATTTATAATAGTGTTTTGTTATATGTAAATCTATATAAATCTATATATCTTCACGTTGTATCATATTTAATCTATATAACTATATATATCTTCACGTTGTATCATATTTACCTTAAATCTCATAAATATAATTTTCATTATTGTTTACCACTTTCTATTTTTTCTATTGTGTCTGTTTATTTTATAATGTTATAATTATAACATTTACATTTAAATTCTTCTCAGTTTTATTAAACAAGTTCAACATTTTTACCTCATACATTTATATCCCCCACATTTGTTGTTCTGTTTCAACAAACCAGACTAACGGAGTTTGACGCTCCTGGTTATGAAACGACACCAACGCAGAAAATCTAAGGCTCGTCTAGAAGCTATTAAAAAAGTTCTGAAGTTGATGAACTGAAGTTTTTTTTTCAAACTTTTTAATATAAAAGAACACGGCACAGGGTTACAATTATAGAAATGCAAAAGAAAAACCTTCTCTTTACAAAGACTAGATTAGAAGATACGGCGTCTGCAGACACTGGCCGTCACACTCTTCCATCAACACGTCTGAGAAGCTGCTGTAAAGTCTGAAAGGATTTAGGAGGATAAATGAGGGTGAAGAGAAGGAGAGGTCTGATGAAGACTGTAGTCGTCTCTAACAGAGCGAACGTCTGACTTCACCTGTAGTCTCCCTACAGACACTCAGCAGTCCTGAAGCTGCTTTTATCTCTGCCCTACTGCTGACACCGTCAGTGGTCACCAGTGTGAGTCATCTGACCATCAACCATGTCCATATCTTCCTCCACTGCATCCATTAATCTTCCCTGGACATTTCCTTTCACCCTCCTGCCTGGCCCAGATTGGTCCAACGTGTCCACCACATGTCCAAAAGATCTCAACCTTGTTTCACAGTCAGACTTTCAGTCAGTCACCAGCTACATTTCTTCTCCTGTTGATGGATAAAATTAATTACTTGTTCATGTCAAGATGTTTTAAGTGATGTAAATATCTTGGTTGCGCTGTCAAACAATTGAATCTTTTAATTTGATCAGTCACAGGGTAGCTATGGATTAATTGTGATTAATCCTGCTTTAATCAAGATAAATGAACGTTTCTAGACAACAAATAACAGCAGGTAGATTCATGTGTTTTAAATGATCGGCTAAAGTTAGCTTCACAGAGCTAATGGATTATGGTCATTAATATTACTGCACATTACATACGTAGAGTCACCTCTTTTATCCCCTTCAGGTTGCTGTTCCTTCCAGTTTATTTGGTCACAATATCAGTATTTTCAGGTGTTTTCAAGTACTTCATCTAATACATTTTTTATGTTTTCTTTTATAACGATTTCAACCACCTACACAACGCATTTAGAGAGAACACTGAGGACACACACACACACAGAGAAATATATCTCTCCAGGGACACCCCCCCCCCCCCCGCGCTGCTGCGAGGGATCCTGGATCTCTGAATTTGTCTTTGAGAACCATCCATGCGGCAGGACGGACATTATCTGGGAATTAGAGGGGACATTTTTCTTGTCTCCACTCCCACTGACAACAATAGCAGTAGTCTGTCCAGTGTGGGTCAGACATTCCTGGCCTCACCATTATAAGTACTATTTGGACCAGGTTGTCCTGTAAGGAAATACTAGATTAGGATGGACGGCCATTATGTTTTACCCAAACAAACCGAAGCAGACGCTCGGCTCTAGATCAGTTGATTAAGTTCCAGTTTTGTAGAGATTCTCACTCACAGCTGAACACATGTCTGCCACTTAGCAACTCACATTTGCATGTTGAGCTGAGTGGGGTGTGCAGAGTGGAAAAGGGTAACATGCAAGGTGTGGTTATGAATGTGTTCACTAAGCAAATACACAGGACAGACATGAACACATTTCCATATGACTCAGATCTAAAGCCTGCCCCCCCCCTTCCTCTCTCTCTCTCTCTCTCTTTCTCTGTTCCCTCCTTCGCTCCATCAATCGTTTGGTTTCCTAACAGATGGGGCTTAAAACCTCCTCCGTCAGCCCTTTTTTCTTCAGCAACACCACAGTCATACCAATGAGAAGGCAAACTGGGGGAGAGCTGCAGCGTCTGGTCGCAGACACCTGCACATACTCTAACTCCTTCACTGACAGACAGACAAACGGGATAATGATGCACACATTTACACCCACAGGTGCTGAGACGCACGCTCGTGCAACACACACTGGTGCACAGACGCGCACTGTGTGTCTGTAGAGTTTATCCGAACACTGAACAGACAACACCAGTAGGACAGAACTACAACATGTCTGTGGACCAGAGCCACAGTCGCCGCTGCGTCTCCGCTCCAGCTGTGGAGACATCAGATCTAGCTTCCTTTTCACCCACTGGCTATTACAGCTTGTCTAAATTCAACTAGTGGACATCTGGCTGTGCAGAAGAGATAACTCTCTCCTTAATAGGAGGATTTTAATTGGCTGCTGCAGAGCTACATCAAAAACCCAGCAGACCCCGAACTCCCCGAGGACTGAAAAAAAAAAGAAACAGAACAACTCGTGGAATTTCTGCCCATTTCCATGCAGTGTGTCCACTTTACTGAGACTCTGTGGCTTTTAATTACCTTTCTTAGCTCTTTAAAGGGCATGTTGGGGAGAGTGGAGTCGACTTTTGGACTTACAGTACACAACAGACCCAGGGAGTCAATAGGTATCGACCCGGGGCAATTAAAATGTAATCAGTTCACCATGTAACACATTCAATGGACTGCATGCAAAGAAGCGGGGACGCTCTAGAGCAGATGTGGAAGGAGAGCGATGGAGAAAAGCAGAGATTCTGTTCCACCGGTCTGGTGGGTTTCCACTTTCGAGTCTGTATTTAAAGCTCAGCGTTGACCACAGGAGCTCAGACCGGGGGAGAGGAGGGGAGTTTGGTTTCCTCAGTACGAGCGCAGATCTGTTCACCAATGTCAGGGTTGTTACAGCCCATACACCGTGCGCTACCATCCTTGCTAACCTAACGTTTTGACATATTTATGGTATAAAGTTTAGGCTACTTTTTTGGCAAATCCCTTTTTCAATTTTTTTTGGCAACCTTTTGGCTATATTTGGTATGTTCTGGCAATATATATGTATATATAAATACCTTAGTACGTAGTTTTATAGTGACTTCAGTCCATTTAGAGACAGTGATGTCATCTTTTGGCTAGTTTTAGCATATTTGTCTCATTTTTTATCTCAGATATCATTTAGATATTGTTTATGTTGTGCTTTAATAGACTTTTAAGACTTTTATACATTTTTAATATTTTGCTCAATTGAAGCTATTTATGTTTTTCCTCTTCTGTGCTAACGCTAAGCATATTCAATTTTAGCTTCAAATCTTTCTAATTTACTGGCTAATTTACCAACTTTTGGGTTAATCACTGAATTTCCTTTCGATTCTTGAGTTTTTAGCTCAGATTTCAGATTTTATTTCACGGTGACATTCCGCTGCCTTTCACTGGTTCCCATGTAGTTCCGGGTGACAGTCTCTTACCTGATAGGGTAGTCAGCAGCGCTGAGGTTGATGAAGAAGTCCCAGCTCCAGTCCCTCATGGCCAGAAGGTCGGCCATGCTGCGCAGATACATGGTCAGCAAGCTGGCCCCGCCCCAGATGGTGGCCATCCGCCATGGAGTCACCCTGACATTAGGGTACTGAGCAGCTAATGCCTGCACCTGCCTGTGCAGGTAGTTGGAGCGCTGCACAGGAGAAAATGACAAATATGTCGTTCATAATTGTTCCCATTTTAGCACTTTGTATATTTTGTTTATTTTACTCTATATACTGTATATGTGTATAACTGGGCTGGTCCATGTGGGTCTCTGGCTCTCACCTGGTCCACGTGTATGTAGTAATAATGCGACGTGTGGTAAATGGCTTTGAAGAGACGCTGAACCTGTCGAGAAGCTCGTCCGTGGACCACGAGGACAAATGCTATCCTCACTGGGTTCAGAGGAAGATTCTCGGCAGAGTCCTCGTCCCACTGGATGTTGACGTTGGCTTTTCCTGTGGAACAACAAGAAAGTGAATGAACTGGTCCCTGTGTGAAATTCCTAAAGGGCGGGGTCTCTGAGCAGGCCTCTCTTCAACTGTTTCCACACTCAGTCACAGAATGAATCACATTCACAGTTAAAGCTGTGTTTTTAATCATCACTCTATTAAAACCCTATTCCCAGAACAAAAAAAGTCCAATTTAAACCCTAATGAATACAGTCAATGATAATATTTAAATCTTCTTCGGTGGACAATACACTACAGCAGCGGCACAACGTAGTTGCTAGGCAACACAGTAAGTAGCAGTTTGAGGGATGATTAGCATATTCATAATAATTAACAATTGAAGATTAAGTGGGTATTTTGTTGATTCAGACTGAAGTGAGGAAATATCTGTTTTCTACCCACCAATCAGGAGGCTGCCTGTGTGTCGGGCCCATGATACAAACACGGTGCTTTGACAGAAGCTGACTGTAGGTGTTGCATGTAATTACTGTGGCTCATGTCCTACTGCTTCCAGCTTTGTCATTTAAATGAAATAGACCTGTGTTACAGACAGAGAGGCCGCGGTGATTCACTGGGATAAAAATAAAACACTGTAAACCTCAAAAAGTAATTTGTCTGTTTCAGTCTTGTCTTGGAAATTAGTTAAAGAACCGTGACTCATTTCCATGAAGAATACACCACACACACACACACACACTGAACCAGGCCTAGTTAATTAATTTAAAAAAAAAAACTATAAAGATTTGATGTCCTCAATGTTTCAGTCTGCTCCCTTCTTCAGTGGTGTTTACACCAGAGAGTCCCTTCAGCTGTATGACCTTTGACACCAGGTCACAACCTGTTTCTTTGTCTCATATCCCAAACATGTTTTTGATTCAGTTTGAGGCAAAGTTAACCCACATTAGGGGGCGCCATGTCGAATCCAGATCTGTGCCAACTGTGGCTTCACTCAACCCGAGCAGATTAACAGCTCTCAAATGGGACAAGAACTCATCTTAAGTGATTCAAGCTTTTTGTCAGGTGAAAAAGAGGCTTCACTGTGAAGC